GAGCTTTCATGGACACCACCCACTTCTTCAGATTCTGCAGAAGTGAGTAGCGCCCACAAAGCTCATGATTCCATCGACATGTTTGGTTAGTCTTTAAGGTGCTACTAGATCATTTGTTGTTTTTTTTAAGTTTCTCCTATAGGTGTTGTGGAAATGGAAACAAGAACTTATTAGGTAGCGATGATGGGCTGGAAGACACATGCATGCTGCGAGTCTGGTTCTTGCCTGTGTTTTGTCTACACACAGTTTTTGCACCAGTATAAGCACTTGGGTTAGAAGCGTGAGTGTATGCAATTGGTTTTTTCCCCCCGAGAGAGCTGTCACGGCACAACCTTTAATGTAGATCAAGGTACGCTGGTATAAAGCTGCCTTATAGCGGGATAACTGGTTTTCATTCTCATGTGACAATAAACAGAAGAGGTGTTTATACCAGTTCAGTTTGTATAACTGGGTCCACAGTAGGAGAATGTAGTTAAAATGGCATCAGTTTTTACATGTAGACGCGGACTTGCACTAAAATCCATTTATATTGCAATGGCAATGTGATGGGATAATGAATTGCAAGCTTGGGAGGTGTGGTATCTTGGGTTTGTTTTCTGGATTCAGAACAAGATAAAAGCTTGTTAGAAGCATGATTAGGGAGAAACTGACTCTTCTCTCCTAAATTAACAGGCGCAAATGGGAGTACCTTGGTCACATCAGGCCTAGAGATGGAAATAACCTTGAGAAAGTTTTATCCTGAAATAAATGTTGGTGAGCCATTGTCATATGCGAAGATCATTGAGTGGGCTGATAAGTGGGGTGCAGGCAGATCACACCGGGCAGTCAGCTACTGAGTAAATGTAACCAGCAATAGGTTGAAATAGCTTCCGAAAATTGCGCGATGATGTCGCCAATATTCCAGTCTGAATAAATGGATTTTACTTAGTATGAAGAAGATTGAAGGTGAGTACCAAGTGCGGGGTGCACCCACGCTAAGAACGCTGGATGCAGCCAGAGTGGTGTAAACAGGCCTTAGTGGAACTGAGAACCTAGCCCTCAGCACGTACAATTGCTGGGTAAGAAGGTGCTGTGTCTTCTGACAACAGATGCACTCTAAAACAAACAAAAAAACCACAGCAGATTTTTCAGCAGTGACCTCTCCTCTAGGATGCATTGGTATATGGATGACCAGCATCGGATACGTAGGACCAGAGGTGAACTGTTCCAATGGAAGCCAACAGGCATTTCAAGTTGTTGGCATCTTTGAAAATCTTTCTCTCAGTGGCACTTGGAATCAAGGCCCACTTGTGATGATCTCAACCTTACCCTGTAATGTTCCACCTTTCATGGAATTGCCTCTTGGCCATAATCATGGGAAAAGATCATAGAACCCTAGAACTGGAAGGGATCTCACGAGGTCATCAAGTCCAGTCCCCTGCTCTCACGGGAGGACCATGATGCACCTTTACGAGCAATGGGACAGCTGCCTTATGAACTGCACAGTTGAGAAACCTTTCAGATTTTTGCTCCAACTTCCACTGGACAAATCCTCCCAGAGTATTGTGTATTCTGCAGCCATTTTTTTTTTTTTTTATAAAAAGCATAGAACTGCCTGTGATTGTATATCTTTATCTGTCTTGCCCTAGGCTGTTCTGTCTCACAGTATCCTACTGGTAGCATGGGGGAAAGGCCACGGAAACAATGAAGAATAAGCCAGTGCACCAGAGAAAGAAGGAATTGTTCTCCCCGCAAGTCATTTCAGCAATGGCTAATTTCACTTGTGCCCTAGGCCCCCAGAGTACAGGACGTTTCGGTTGTTCCTTTCTGGTCTCTTCTTGAGAGTGACGTTGCACATGAGTCTTGGCAGCGATGACTGACTGGAAGGTTTTGAATCCATCTTCTCTTGCGTGGACAATTGCTTTTCTGTTTCATCTGCTTCCTGCTTTCTTATATCGATGTTGTCACTACGTACCCAACCAGGGATCCAGAATCTGCAAGCAAACATCCCTGAAGGATCTGTCTATAGAGGATCCTGCAGTGGCTATGAGCCCCTAATGGGAGGCCTGCAGGCTCGTTAAATCCATGGTGCCTAGTCTGTGACATCCGGCATAAAGGAGAGAATTAAGAGATTTATTCTCCCCCATGTCCCCTTCAGCTTTTACCGGATTGGCTGTGGTAGTGGCACTGTTTGTGCTGTTGTCTCAGCAGTGCAACTTTGCACAGTCCGATAGCAAGTGCATAATGCCGGTGGGGTATGTGAGACATAACTGCACTGTTTCTTGTCATCCTATACTCCTAGGATTGGAAGGTACCTCAAGAGGCCATCAAGTCCAGTCCCCTACACTCATGGCACCACCCACCAGTCCCTGACAGGTGGCTAGAGAGAGGTTTTTTTTTTTTTTTTAAAGAGCAGATTAGACAATGATGGAGATACTACAACTCCCCTAGGCAATTTATTTCAGCTTGAACCACCCACATAGGAAGCTTTTCCTAATGTCCAACCCTAAACCTCCCTTGCTGCAATTTGCACCCATTGCTCCTTATCCTAGCATCAGAGCTCAAGGAGAATCATTTTTTCTCCTCCTCCTTCTAACAACCCTTTAGGTGTGCTTGGAAGCTGTTATCTCTTCCCCTCTGTCTTCTCTTTTCCAGACTAACCAAACCCAATTCTTTCAGTCTTCCCTCATAACTCATGTTTTCTAGGCCTTTGATCATTTTTGTTGGTCTTTTCTGGACTTGCTCCATATCTTTCCTGAAATGTGGTTCCCAGAACTTGGCACAATACTGCAGTTTGAGGCCTAATCCGTGCAGAGTAGAGTGGAAGAATAATGTCTCATGTCTTGCTCAATACTCCTGTTAGTGCATCCCAGAATTACGTTTGCTTTTTTTTAATTACACTGTTGACTCCAGTTTAGTCATCTTGTGGTCCACTGTGACCCTTAGATCCTTTTCTGCCGTACTTCTTCCTAGACAGTCCTTTCCCATTCTGTATGTGTGAAACTGATTGATTGTTCCTTCCTAAGTGAAGTACATTGCATTTGTCCTTATTGAATTTCATCCGATTTTACCTCAGACCATTTCTCCTGTTTTGTCCCGGTCATTTTGAATTCTGATCCTACCCTTTAAAGCACTTGCAACCTCTCCCAGCTTGGTAACATCTGCAAACATTGTAAGTGTACTTTCTGTGCCATTTTCTGAATTAAAAGCGGCAAGGCGTCCTGTGGCACTTTATAGACTAACCGAAATGTTGGAGCATAAGCTTTCGTGGACAAAGACCCACTTCGTCAGATGCATGTAGTGGAAATTTCCAGAGGCAGGTAAAAATATGCAGGCCAGAATGAGGCTGGAGATAAGGTGGATCCAATCAAGGAGGATGAGGCCCACTTCTAGTAGCTGATCTGGAGGTGTGAATTCCAAGAGGGGAGAAGCTGCTTTTGTAGTTAGCAAGCCATTCACAGGCTTTGTTTAATCCTGAGTTGATTGTGTCAAACTTGAAGATGAACTGTAGCTCAGCAGTTTCCCTTTGAAGTCTGGTCCTGAACAATTTTCTAAATTGTTGATGAAGGTATTGAACAGAACTGGTCCCAAAACAGACCCTGCAGAACCCCACTTGTTATGCCCTTTCAGCATAACTGTGAACCATTGATAACTAGTCTCTGAGAACGGTTATCCAGCCAGTTATGAATCCACCTTATAGTAGCTCCCCTTAGGTTTTATTTCCCAAGTTTACTGATAAGAGGTCATGTGAGACCATATCAAATGCTTTGCTAAAGTCAAGGTATACCACACCCATGGCTTCCTCCTTCTCCACAAGGCATGTTAGCCTATCAAGGAAAGCTCTCAGGTTAGTTTGGCATGACTTGTTCTTTACTATTACTTATCACCTTCTTATCTTCCAGATGTTTGCAAATGAATTCCTTAATTACTTGCTCCATTATCTTCCCTGGCATAGAAGTTAAGCTGACTGGTCTGTGGCTTCCTGGGTTGTCCTTATTTCTCCTTTTCTAGATGGGCACTAGATTTGCCCTTTTCCAGACTTCTGGAATTTCTCCAGTCTTCGGTGTCTTTTCAAAGATGTTAGCTAATGGTTCATATCTCCTCTAACAGCTCCTTGAGTATTCTAGGATGAATTTCATCAGGTCCAACAGATGTCTGGGTAGTTGGAGTCCCCTGTCAGCCCGAGATCCTGTGCTTTGGATGGGTGTTTTTTTTTTTTTTTAAAAAGCATCATCCACCTCTTCTTCCTGGTTAGGTTTTCTGTGGTAGACCCCCCTACCATGGCTTCACCCTTAGTTTTTGTTTTCCTTTTATCCTTACCCAGACTCTCAACAAGTCTATCTCCTATGACCGTCTCCACCTCAGTTCAAGTGAATACTTTTTTAATATATAGGACAACATCTCTTCCCTTTTTCCCTGCCTGTTTTTCCTGAGCAAGCTGTATCCTTCTAGTCCAATGTTCCAGTCATGCATATTATCCCACCAAGTCTCTGAGATACCAGCGGTGTCATAGTTGTCTGTTTACTAGCATTTCAAGTTCTTCCTGCTTATTCCCCACACTTCTTCCATTTGTATACTGGCAGCTAAAACTGATTTGATCTTGCCCCTCCTCTCTACTTCTGTCCTTTCTCCTTTATCCCTGCTATTAGTCCTCGCTTTCCCCACCAATTTTCTGATTCACATCAGATTGGAAAGATCCTGGTCAAAGGCCAGTTTATACAGAATATAATTGCCCATCTCCAGCCCCTGCTGCTCCTGAGACCTTTAATTCCCCACTGGAACCCCTAGGCAGCTAGTGCAGTGGTCTCCAACCCTTTCCCTTTCCCATAATGGAATCTGTCTACACCCCTTAGGAGCATGGCTGGGAGCAGAGTCATGGCTGGGACAGAGACAGTAACACACACATGGTAGCAGGTTTGATTTGTGATTGACATGATTGTTCCAGACATGCAGGCCTAACGTACATGGCAAAAACCAACCCAACCCTCGAAGGCTACGTGGCTGCTTCTCTCTCGTTTCAGAACGTGCGGCGGCTCCTGCAGAACCCCCGGGTGACTGAGTTCGATGCCACGCGGCTGGTGATGCTCTACGCACTGCACTATGAGCGGCACAGCAGCAACAGCCTGCCCGGGCTGCTGATGGACCTCAAGAACAAAGGGGTGTCAGAGAAATATCGGAAGGTAGCTGCGGCTGTAGTCCCCGTTCTGGAAGGATGGGTTAAAACAGGCAGCGGATAGGAAAACACAAGCGACGGGGGGAGGGCCTCTGTCATGGCGTCACTGACGTCAAAGCTTTGTCCCCAGGTGGGAGCTGATATCGGGATTATTGTCTGGTAGCTCTTCTCCATCCTTTGACTCCCCTGCTCACAAGTAACAGACTTGCCGGGTCCCTGCGCAAGTGGTGAACGGCTGGCTCCACACTCGCAGAAGGGGCGGCGCTGGGGTAGCCAGCCCTCTGTACTGCCTGGATCACACCGCACCCTCCTCCTTCTCTCCGCCCCTCCCCCAGCCCAGCCAGCCCTCAGAGCTGCCAGGAGCACACTGCCTGGGGCTCCAGAGGCGATTTAAAGGGCACAGGAGCAGCAGCTGGGAGCCCTGGGCCATTTTGAATTACCGGGCCCCAGAGCAAGTGCGCTTTTGCCCCCCACTGTCAGACAGCCTGCTGGTGAGCTTTCCTGAGGCAGGCACCGTGTCCCCCTCTCCCGTTGTACAGCCCCCGAGTACAACAGGGCCCTGAGCTTTACTGGGCATTACTATAAAATATACTGTTAATAGTCTGGGAAAAAAATCTCTGTCAGCACTTTGCCCCCAGCTCTCTGGATATTGCTGACTTCTCCCAGCTGGAGGCAACTCTTACCCTGACTCTGAAGGGCGATCAGAGGCTGAGGTGGTGAGGGCTTCATAATTAGATGAAGGACAATCCTGGTATTGCTGATTGAAATGCCCCAGATGGCCTTGATGTCTGCAAAGTGCTTTGAGAGCCTCGGAGAGAATAAAGCTATGGGAGGACGTTCCGTGATCTACCAGCGTCTTAGGTCCTCCCTTCACAGGGACTTCATTCCACTCCCGCCTCCCCGCGTACCTCAGCCATTTGGAACAATTAGAACAGCAGTCAAAATCCCTGTTTTCTGCCCAATGATCTTATTTATTCCAACCGTGCTGGGGGCCCTGATCCCTGCCCGGGCTGCCTTGTGGTAGGCATACAAACGCTTGCATGAATAGGCTGGATGTGTCCCCATGGCCAGGAGCATGTGTTGGGAGCGCAAGGTGGACATTTGCCCTGCCCTCTCCGTGCTGTGTATCCATTTGGAGCTCGCTGGAGTCCCTTTTGACTCCTTGGGCATTGCTCCAGCACCTCCATCAGTGCTAACTCCCCCTCAGCTTTCCTGAAGCTAGTTCCCCGCATTAATTGGGCTCTGGTCTCCCTTTTGCTTTGGACAGCTGGTGTCAGCAGTGGTGGAATATGGTGGGAAGCGGGTCCGGGTTAGTGATCTCTTCAGCCCCAAAGATGCCGTGGCGATCACCAAACAGTTTCTCAAAGGACTCAAGGTAGGAAGGTCTTTGAGGAAGAGGGGGAGCAGGCGTGGGACTCTGGGGGCTCTGTTTAGCATTGCGAGGGGGCTGTCGTATGAGGTTTGTGATCCAGCACTGCACGACAGAGTTGTCCCTCGCTCAGCGAAGGGCAGGAGATACCACGCGCCACATGCAGCGGCACCTGTAGCCAGTCCTCCCGCTGGCTTGTGTGTGTTTCAGCCAGCACTGCCCTTAGTAAGCAATCTCTAGCTGTTCTTGCCAGCTCTGGGCATGGAGCTAAGATTGCGGGCAGGGTTCCCGCTAAGATTTTCCAACCATGAGCGGAGTGAGGCTTGGCTTGTGCACCAATATTGAGGTCATCGGCTCTGGTCCTCTATCTCTGTCTCTCATGCTCCCGGCCGCCGGAGCAGGCCCCCCTCTAGCCTCCCCCCCATTCCTCCCCGGCCATAAGGCATGTCCCATTCCTAGCTCCAACCACCAGAACAGGCCCCTGCCACGTGGCAGCCCCAGCCACCGGAGCAGGCCTCCTTCTCCCCTGCCATGTGGCCATGGTGGATCCTGGCCCCCCGCCCCAGCGGCTCCCTCACCACACTGTCTCATCTGGCTCCACCTACTGGAGCAGCCGCCTGCTGCACGGTTCTCCAGAGGTGGTGGGTTTGGAGGGGGAGAGGGGATTTTCTGTGCACAGCTGCGCAGGCGCGCCCCTTAGCGGGAAGTATGCTTGCGGGGTGCTTGTCTCTGAGTTTCCTGGCTTTCTGAGGTTGAAGTATTTGTGTGCTCCGCGCTCTGGCAGGCTGGGGGCAGTTGGTCTGTACCAACAATCAGTGTCCATTGGATGCTCCTCTTTCTGGATAGGGGAGTCGCTGGCCTGCTCTCCCTGCTTGTCGCCTAGCTGCATCTCAGTTAAAACCACTTTCCCTTTGCGTTGCAGGGAGTCGAGAACGTGTATACGCAGCACCAGCCCTTGCTGCATGAGACGTTAGATCAGCTCATCAAAGGAAAACTCAAGGATGGCCAGTACCCCTACCTGGGCCCCAGCACACTCCGGGACAGGTACGGAGGGGTGGGCAGGGGACAGAATAATCTCTTTGGGGTAAATAAGGGATGGTTAACACCTGTGCCCAATTCCAATATGCAAACATGATGTTTGTTTAATGTCAGCTATATACTGGGAGAGGGGTCAGTAGCACTTCATCTTGGCCTAGCTCTGCTCCCACTGAGGTTGACAGTACAAGTAATAACAGCAGAATTGAGTGCTTTTGGCAACCTTCCCTTTTGCCTTCCAGCCGCCTGCATGGAATTGCCCTGTATTTCTGCTTTAAGAGTATTCACCTGTTTGTCAGCTTGATTCCTTCCAAGGCAGCTGTGCTCTCTAGAGGCGAAACAGGGAACTGAAACGGGGTCTCTTTCCCAGCTCTGCCACTGGTTTGCTGTTTGACCATAGGCAAGTCACTTAACTGCTCCATGCCTCAGTTTCCCTACCTGTAGCTTGGGGATGATGCCTGGCCTAGCTCCCAACGTGGCTGGGAGGCTTGAGAGCCACTAGGCTTGTCGAGTCCGATCTCTGTGGCGTGGTGTCTGTGCTGTTGAAAGAGGTGTCCTGACTGGGAGAGTTAGGGTGCAGTACTGCTCTTCCCAGGAAGCAGAGGAGTGCGTGACGCACTCGTGAAGGGGAACGGGGCCAGTCCGGTGACGCGCAGAGGGCTGGACAGACGGGATTCCTTGTCCAGCTGCCCCCCTCCATCTTGGCGCCAAGAGGACAAATGCCCTTGGACTTGCTGAGCACTCTCTTGGTCTCGCAGCTTCTCTCCCACCTGCTGGAGTGGCCGAGTGGGGATACGGCTTGAAATGACTCCTCTGTTTCTCAGCCAGCTGTTTGTTAGGCTCCGGGGGTGGTGATCCCACTCTGAGCGCCTGGATGAGATGTGTGGACCACAGCCCCTGGGCTCAGGGGTGGTCAGGGGCTGAGCTGCCCATGTGCCGTAGCCCCAAGCCATGGTTCCAGCAGGGAATCAAAAAGAGCCCAGTGCTCAATTGTCTCCTGAGCAGCTTGGTACGAGTTCTGGTGAGAGCCTGACCTTACCCAGCCTGATTGGGAAGCAAGAGCCCTCCCTAGTTTCTATTCCCATGTCTTCCACAGACTCCCTGTGAGAGTTTGGACCAGTTACTTAATCCCTAGTTTCCCTGTCTGTAAATGTGCTTCTGTAACATACTGATTCAGGGTGTGATAGCTGCTCCTAATGCACGATCTGCGTAGAGGAAAACATCTTGCCATTGCTTCTGACTTGGAGTTGCTCCAATGGTAGAGACCTGAGCTTCTGATGCTAAATATCCTAGGCTCGCTCCTTGTGGACGAGGCACGGTAGGATGGCCCAGAGATGCTGTTTGTGAAGCGCTCGGCAATCCTCTGGGGGAGGCGCTTTACATGCAGAGCGTTGCCACAATCCTCCGTCCCGTCACAAGCCGGCTCCTGCCAGCTTTTATCAGCAGCTGCCACATTTGTATTGAGTCAGAAAATAAACGTGTGCTCTCAGTATTCAGCAAATCAGGTGGCTGTTGCAGGGCAGGCTGGCTTACAGGGAAACTGCAGACTCATGTAGAGCAGAGGGGAAGCTGACTTTGGGACCGAGGTTCCAGAATGTCGAGCGAACAGGAGGGGGAGGAAGCGTGGCCGAGAACGCTCGTTAATGTCTCTGGCTCTGGGAGGTACACCCTGCAGTGCTTTTGCTTCCTTCCTTAGCCCACTGATAAAAGGGACAAGGGGTTTCGGAACGGAGAGGCATCCCGATCTCATGCCAGCCTGACAGCCAGGGCCATTAACCACTTTCTTTCTGAGTGAGGAGAATTATGGGCCCGCCTGAGATGAATTTTGTCGACATGCCAGGAAATCTTGGCCTCACGCCAGCTGCTCCGTTCAAAATCCAGTAGTGCGCTTTGGGGCTTGTGGAAGGGGCTGCTGGAAAGAGAGAGGCATCGGATTGTCCCGGGATGGGGATGAAGGCCACAGATGTGCATGTGTGCGCCTAGGAATGCCAGACATGCAAGTCTCCTCCTAGGAAATCTTCCAGCCTAGCCCAGGAGCGACTGCCTCTGAAGTGGAGATGGAACTTCAGTTCCCAAAGCCTGCTTCAGCCTTGGCTTCTCCTCTCCACCCACCAAAGGGGCCAGTTCTGTTCGCTTTGACATGGCTGTTTGCCCAATGGCACTGACGTGAGACCCACCAATTCATTTCTCACAGGCCACCAAATAATAACAGCTTCTAGACGCTACCGATCTGGCCTCCGTGGGAGCCAGCAAGGTAGGGGCAAAAGGCCCTTTGAGCCAGCCAGTCTCTCTGGCTTCATTCCACCCCTCTGCCCCCCCAAAGGGACGCAAAAGGATTTTCTCAAGGAATGTGAGCAAGGTTTAATTTCCCAATGAATTCGAAGGTCAGAAACGCTAAATCCAAACAAAATATCGCCGAGATGGAAGAAAACCAAGTAGGGATGTGAAAGGTTCACTGGTTTAATTGAGAAGTATCACCATTAGCAAGTGAACCGGTTCATTGTTAACTGGTAGGGGCTGGGGCAGCCCGCCACGGACATGGTGGACTGGAACGCCCCTGCACCGGGGCGGAGAAGACTGCTCTAGCCCAGTAGGGCTGGCATGGGCCTCCTGCCCACATCCCTTTAAAATGTTAACCCGTTAAACATCGATGTTTAACCAGTTAACCAATTAAACAGGACTTTTTTACAAGTAACTGACTTGACACTGGCTGTCCTGATAACTTCGGTAAAATAACTAGACACCACAAGACGCTAGCAGCAATGCCAAACCACATTTCTTGATTGGAGGTGGGTGGGGGAGGATGGCTGGCCAATAACTGCTGGACGTTGCAAGGCAGCTGAAAGTTGGCCTCACTCGGCTTCCAAAGGGACAGGAGTCGGCAAACCCCACAGAAAGGCCAAGGTCAGCAGAAAGGCCAAGGACCAAGTGGGCGAGGACACGGCTGGCCCAGCACAGCCGCTGGTCTGGCTGCAGGCACTAATGCGGAGAACGTGTCCGGTGAGTTCCAGGGGTTGAGGCACTGGAAATCCAGGGCTCAGTGTACAGCCGGCCTGGTGGTTGTGCTGCTAGCCAGTGACTTGGCAGACCTGCCTTCAGTTCTCTGCTCCTGTCTAGCAAGGGGCAAGGTGCTTGCATCTACACTTAGATGTGGGGCCGTTCCTGTGCTAGCTCTGATCCAGCAAGTGCGCTTAATAAAAATGCTGATGGGGCGGCAGGGCGAGCTAACTGCCCCACATGTAGTCCAGTTTGAGAGCCTGTGTGTGTACCGGGGGGGCCCAGTACCTCAGTCAGATCAAGGGTAGGAATTCTGCTGCCATTTCCAAGTGTAAACACAGCTCAGACTCGCTGTGTAAGGGGACCCAAGTCCTGCCCTCCTACAGAAGGATTGAGAGGATAAATGTATTGGATTGGGAGGCGCTTAAACTCCAGGGGTCCATGGGCGTATCTTAGATGGATGGAAAAATGAATCCGGCCATATCCCGGAGCATTCCAAAGGAACGGGAGAGGAACCACCGTACTGCTCTCGCAAACGGAACAGAGTTGATCCGATGTACCAGGGATCGACGGGAACCCTGGGCCAGGGCAAACGGTGTAGCTCACGATGCTGTGGGTGGCGTCCGAGGGTGGAGTTACAGTGATTGACGCGGGTTCGGTGAAAGGTCCGGAGGAAAAGCTTTGTGTTTCACTATGCAAGGGAGGCTGCTGCTTGAACGGCAAAGACTTTTCAAAGGACTCTCCGTGCTGATGCTTTCCGTAATACATTTTATCTTCCTGGCAGGGAGAAGCGGAGAGTCTAAATAACATTCTTATGTTCTTATGTAATCTTAGCAGGTAGGAGGCAGGGGAATCTGTCGAGCATCAAGCAGGGTTCCAGGAGATCCCACTTAATCTTTTGCTTCCTACTTGCATTCTCTTGCTATTGAAATGTCCTCCCTCCTCCATTTGCCATACACAGACAGGCTCCCCAGCACTGTGGCTTGCGTCGTGTTAGCTGCGCTTCTCCTAAAGCTCGTTAGTTGTATTACAGTACGCACAGAGGTTCCAGCTGCGATCAGGGCCCCAGTGTGCTAAGCACAGTACATACACGGAGTAAGAGGCCATCATTTCCCCCACGAGCTCACCATCTAAAGAGACACAGGGTGGGTATCTCTGTTTTGCAGATGGGGATCTGAGGCAGACAGATGAAGTGACTTGCCCAAGGTCAGGGAGAAGTTGTAGCAGGGCTGTAATCCCAAGTGTCCTAGCCAAGGATCTTGCCCACAAGCCCATCCTTCTTCTGGGCTACCAGTCGGATTCCAGTGAGGGTGATACTTTTGAGCTGGACTCCACTCCAATTGGGGTTTTCCCTAGGGATGATAAATATCGGTTTAATGAATAGTCGATTAACCACGTGAATTCTTATTGGTTAGTTGACTATTCTATAGTCCCCAGGGACAGGGCCGGCAGCCAGTGCGCTCTGGTCTCACTCCTGAGGAGTCCCTGCCACTCTGCGCTGCTGCCTCTGTATCAGGGGAGCCGGTTTAAGCTCCCCTTGTGGACTGGCTGTCTGCTGCCTTGCGCTGCTGCCTCAGAGGCAGCATCAGGGGGTGGCAGCAGCCCCTGTCTGGGTCTGGGTCTGAGCTCCTGGACCCGGTGCAAGCAGGAACTGAGCCAGGCTGCCTGCCCGCCTGGCTCCTAATACGCTTTAAATGCAGAGCTGCAGTGGGGTTAGGTCCTGGACCTGGCATGAGCCGAGACTGAGCCAGGCTGCTGGCCAGCCTGCTAAACAAATTTACTGGAAAGGTCAGGATGGGAAAATACATGTCTATAGCATTAACCTATAAGCTTTTGCTTATCGCTTAATGGACTCCACTGTTGCATGCCTACTTTGCCCTGTTCGGAATAAGAATACCACCGTGTTTGGAAACCTGGTCTGGTCAGGTTTACATCAGCTGTGTAGGGTCCTGTCTTCTCCGCCAATGGGTGGAGACCCACAGAGAGGGGAGCGCAACTAACCCAATGAGCCC